CAAGAGTTAACCAGCCCCAGTGTGATAGCGTTTGGAGGCGACTGGTTCTCTTTCATTGTGCTGGGACTCCTGTGACAGCCGAGATGGGAAGGCTGCGAGTGCAGCTCTCCAGTCTCAGAATGGATGTTCTCCATCCTAAACTACTTTGCCGTGGTCCCCGGTCCCCCAGAAGAGTGGGGCACCCTGAAAAACCACGGCGGGGAGGGAGTCGGCCAGCAGGGACAGAGGCAGCGGAGGTGGGTGCAGACCATGGAGGAGGAGGAGCGGGGGACCGACCAGCAGGCTCATTACAAGTGACCTCGGAAGCATGGCCGGGATCACTTCTACTTTCCCCCTCCACATTTAGCCCTGCGTGACCGAAGTTGTGCCGCCTCGCTATTCCCTGCCTCCAGGCCTCGCTGGCCTCATGGGAAATCCAGCCAAAGTTTGGCTCCCCCTGTCCTAAGGTAATCTGCATCATATAATTTCCTTTTTTTCATCCTTTTGTTACATGTCAGTCCTGCTGATCTCCTGCAGCCTCTTCCTGTCTATGTGCACTCCAATTATGGCTACATGGCATTTCTCAGGAAGGGTTTCCTGATTGTGACAACAGTGCACCATGCCAATGCATGTTCAAGTGGCCACTTGTAGCCGCCAATGAAAACCTGCGTGACAAGGTGACAACACAGGAGCATGATTGGGAGACAGGGACAGAGCGTTGTCAAACATATAATGTGGCAGCATGGTGGTGGGCCTTAACTGTCGCTATATATATACACACACACATACACACATACATACATATATACACACACACACACATATACATATACATACTGTATATCTCCAACATAGGGATCGAGTGGCCACCAACTCCCCCTAGTCGCTGCTTATAAAATCGGGAACTGTTAGGATGGGCTTTCTGATCACATGACCACTGTGGCAGCCAATTAGAGTGATCAAAGCCTCCGGAATAAAGAACCCCCCAAAAGAGCACATGCACATTTCAAGAAACATCCTGCACTTTATTTTGTCAAACCAGACGGCTTTCTTATAGCTTGCGCATAAGGTCTCCAAGTCCAACACTTCATCCCTCCCATCCAGGAGCTCACCTGTTGAAAACCTTTTGTCTTTCTTACTGTAGAAATCCTTATAGGAAGACATGATGATGGGAATAACCGGGACCTGCACAGACCAGAACAAGGATTCAATACTTGAACTTCGGACTTGAAAAGAATAATATATGTGTAGACATTCGGACAAAGAAAAGACAAATAAAATACAGCAACGCGCCGTTTAAAAAGAATGTCGCTTTTCTATGTTAAATTTATGTACAAGATATCAGAGTCATGGATTTAACCCCTTCCTGCCAGCCATGTACATGTATGTGTGGCAGCCACATAGATTGCATACAGATTTGTTCTGGGGAGCACGCTCAGCGGTGTACCACCAGCACTGTGACTGCGCTATCACCTACAGCTCCTGGAAATCCGGAGTCAGTAGGACAGGTTCCTAATCACAAGATCAATACGAGAGCCGATCTGTCAAAGTTTTAATATCCTTGTTTCTATGTATAGCTTACAACATAGGGCAGCCATCAGGGCCATGGTGCCGGGCAAATGTCGAAATCCTGGAATTCAGTTTTAACTCAATATATGCGCTCGTGGGAAAAAAACAAAAAAACACTACTTTCCCTTTCAACTGGCCCATGCATGTAACAAGGAGCTTAGATATAACACAATAAGTAATTGAAATAGGGAACACTGGCAAGCCATAGGGATCGGCCCAGATCAAATGTTATTTGTCACAATAAAAGATTGGAGGGTTATTATACACAAGACTGTCAGACAACTTGAATGAACAAGCTCCTAATGCCAACATACTGAAAATAACCCCCCCCCCCCCCCCAAAACCTAAGCACAGGTAAGGGGTACAAGGGGGGCTTGGGTATATTCCCCGAAATTGGCCTACAGGTGACCGCCTGACATTTTGATAAGTACAAAATCCCATCGATACAGGCCCTCATAATACACATTCTACCAAGTGACCAGACTCTTACCTGAGCTTGCACAGCCAGGTGAAAGGCTCCTCGTTTGAATGGCAGGAGAGAGCCATTGTGATTTCTGGTGCCCTCTGGGAATACCCACACACGTACCTGGGAGGAGAGCGAGGAGTAGAAGCCATTGTGAGGGATAGTGGCACAAATGGATAGACGCATACCTTTCTGTTCTCTGATCTTTCCTTTAAATTCCAGACTAGATTTACTGTAGTAAAGTATACAAAGCCCCCCCTGGGTCCATCCCAAACTGTCCCTGCTGATTAATTACTCAATCTAATAATCCCACGGAACTTCATTATTCATTCTACAATGAACCTGTCATCAAGAAATACCACAGCCTATCATTCCCAAAGAGCAGGTACCACATACCACGCAAATATATGTCAGGGAGCCCCCAATCTACTCCGTAGGGAAGGAAAAACATCAGCCCGCAAGAGACGGAGTGGAAATCCCCATTCCATGCTAACAGCACCTGTAGCTACCCGAAAACAACCGTGCTGCTGAACAGGGACTGCATCTGACACAATTGTGCATCCCTGGTAACATAAAAGACCACTCCACCAGATTTAAAGTGAAGCAGAAACGATATTATTTAAGCCGCCCCCCACACTTACAGACTCTCCTCATTACATACATAGAAATATACAGACCACAGAACTGTTCTAGCAGTGTTTCTCGCTCTCTGACCAGGGCCCAGCAGCACCCTCTGGGTTCTAGCATGTGTTCCTTGCTCTCTGACCAGGGCACAGCAGCACCCAATATGTTCTAGCAAGGTTCCTTGCGCTCTGACCAGGGCCCAGCAGCACCCTATATGTTCTAGCAGTGTTCCTTGCTCTCTGACCAGGGCACAGCAGCACCCAATATGTTCTAGCAGGGTTCCTTGCTCTCTGACCAGGGCCCAGCAGCACCCTATATGTTCTAGCAGTGTTCCTTGCTCTCTGACCAGGGCCCAGCAGCACCCTCTGGGTTCTAGCAGTGTTCCTTGCTCTCTGACCAGGGCCCAGCAGCACCCTATATGTTCTAGCAGTGTTCCTTGCTCTCTGACCAGGGCACAGCAGCACCAAATTTGTTCTAGCATGCGTTACTTGTGTCCAAAGACTACTGGAAATTCCTGTAGATCAGCAGATGAATGATTTTACAGGCAGATCATTATAGTCTATGGAAATGGGCAGAGCATGTGACTGCTACAGCTTAAAGTGACATTAAACCCTCAGATTTTTTAACATAAACCAATAATGTAATGTGTGCCTTACTGTAATCCATGGTAGTTTCCCTTCTCTTTGCTGCTCATCCTTTTAAATCCTCATGTCTTCTCATGCTTGGGAAGAACTTCCCTTTGCAGCTGAGTGCCTCTTCCTGTAGTGCTGGCTCAGGTTGCAAACCTGCACACAGACACCATGTATCCATTCCAGAGACAAGGCAGTCTGCTGCAAAACAGAAGTTCTGCCCAGCATGAGAACAGATACAGATTTAAAAGGAAGAGCAGCAAAGAGAAGGGAAACAACCATGGATTACAGTAAGGCGCACATTACAGTATTGTTTTATGTTAAAAAATCTGAGGGTTTAATGTCACTTTAAGGATGGTGTTGAACATAGTGTGGGGAAACACCACTTCCACTGATTTGGAGGGCAAAAGGGGACTTGGGGGAGATTTCACTATATTTTAAGTTCCACTTTAACGAACTGGATTGTTTAGGATTGTGCACTTCCTGATATAAGATTCATGGAACTGACCAGTTCATGTGTTATAGTCTTCCTTCCCTATTCTTCCAAATCATCCCCCTTCCCCCCACGATTAATTATTTTTCTCACGTCCTCCTTCAGCATGGTCTCCGCCGCTTCCGTCATCACGCTGATGGCATCGTCCGTCTTTTTACGGTTGATGAAAATGACTCCAGCCAACCAGCATGCCAGACTGGCGGTGCCAGCATACATGAGCTCACGTTTGGCGATGGGCACACAGCGACCCGGCAAGATCTCCATCATTCCTGGGGAAATAAAAAACAAACGCTTATTAAAGAGCTGTAGACCAATCAAGGTAGAATTAAAGTAGCCAGTCAGTGCAACTTGGAGTCAACAGAAGGTTCCAAAGCTAACATGGTCTCCATTATCCTAAAAAAACAACTTAGAAGTGATGCCTACAAATAGGCGCCACGAGGTAGCTGCCAATACCCAATTGCCCAGAAAAGCCTCTTCAGCACAACACCTCCGATTTATTTCACTGTGTAGACATGTCACTGGGGCCCACCTTCCAATGGGCTCCTGTCCAACAAGAGTGTCTTACTTGCCAGAAAAGCAATCTGCTGGGGTAGGTGGCTGACGAGTGGGTGGAATTTAGTGTTTAGCAGCTTACAGACATCAGATGACAGTAACCCAGTATGGCAAAGATCTCATATCCAAGTCAGATTCCCACCGGCTAGAAGTTCTCTGGACCAACACACAGACTAAAGACCTAAAAATGCAGGTTCAATGTTCGTCTTTTCTTACTGCATGGGATTTCAGTAAAGTCTGAAGCTTGACCTGATATGCTGGGTATTTTCTAGTTGACAACAGTACCAGTATTGAGCAGCACAGTGGCCAAGTGGTTAGCACTCCTGCTAACCTCCTATACTAGGGTCCTTGGTTGGAAATCCCAACCAGGAAATTATCTGCATGGAGTTTGCATGTTCTCCCTGTACTTGCTTGGCTTTCCTCTGGGTACTCCAGCTCCACACTCCAAAGACATGCTGGTAGGTTCATTAGCTCCTGTCTAAATTGGCCATAGTAAGTGTGTATGCATGCATGTTAGATTGTAAGTTCTCTGAGGACAAAGGACTGATGGATAGAAATATATATATATAATTTATTACATACATTTATATACACATATATCCATATACACACACATATACAGTGGTACCTAGGTTAAACTTAATTCGTTCCACGATTCTGATCGCGAACCGAATCAAACGGTGATCAGACCACGATCTCGACTAGAGGAAGCCATGTGTCCGAGCAGGGAAGATGGCTGCGTGTGCGTTCGTCACCTGATGCAGAGTTCACGTACGGAAACTACATTTTGGCGAACTTCCTGCTCGCGAACCGAATTGCTTGCGAACAGGAGCGTTTCTGAACCGAGGTACCACACACACACACACATCTGTAATAAATATACACCACCACCATATACCACTGTAGACCATGCACCCATCGTATAGGCAGGGGAGGTACAGATGCAGGTTGCATTGCTGAATGTATAGCAGACTGAAAGACCTGTCCCAACTCCCCCATCCCTTCTGCATGAACATAAAACTTGTTTAGTTGGAAAAGCCGCACTTGCCGGTTTACGGATTGATCTGCAGCACCCTGAAGATTAGCTACCCCGGGGGGAGCGGTCAGATTGCGCATCTACATCCAGCTGCCTTCTGTCTATAGGCAGTCTCGGTGTCTGGCATGTGTATTAGATGCAGCAAGATATCAGATGTTGGTTCGTGGACTGAAAGGCAATCTTCATTTCTCCTCTCATCAGCAGATGTTACTGCTCAACTTACAGCAATTTCCTTTATTGTTAAGACATCGAGAAGACAGCAAAGGGATCAAACCTCAGAGCTGTATTTGTCCAGAGTTATCGTGTTTGATATTAAAATGCAGAAGTTAATAAAGCAACAAACTCTGTACAGATGGTTTGGCAAGAAATTATTGTCGCTCGTAACACTTCCTGCAGAGCGGTAACCAAGACTCATTTCGGCCGGCTTAAAAAGTGTAGTTCCACTTATGCAGTTAAACTTAAGAAAACACCCACTCTATAGCTGTAAAAAATAAGTCAAGGCAACTGGACTTACTGTATTTTTTTCTTGAAGACGTTTCACTGGACATCCGACCAGCTTTCTCAATTCAGAATGGAGAAAACTGGTCGGATGTCTAGTCTTGAATTGTATTGTGATTGTAATGTCTTCCTTATATTGTAAAGCGCTGCACAAACTGTTGGTGCTATATAAATCCTGTATAATAATAATAATCATCATTATCTCAATTTGGCTGCAAAAGTGGAAATAACACTATAAAGTTGAATTTTAACCCCTTTACGACTAGCGGCGTACAGTGCACGTCACTGGCATCGGGGCTGTTTAAACTTGTAAAGCCGACTGTCGGCTTTACAGTAGAAACGATTCTGGCGGCTGAGCTGCCGCCAGATCGCTTCTACAGGCCGGTGAACGCGTGTCCCCCCACCGCCCGACACCCCCGCCGTGTTGCCACTCCTACTGGCCCGTGATCGGCTTCTTTGGTGTCGGCGGGAAGCTGGGGAGGAGATGGACAAACCATTATCGTCACAATTAAAATGATAAAATCCTAAAAATTATAATTTGTTAAGACTACAAAACTTTAAAGATTCAATGTACAGAATCGAGACATCACCTTTACACCTCTTTCACTGAAAATCACACCACCATGCAGCTCTGCATGCTGATATAAAATCATCTTACATTCATTAAAACAAACTTGTTTTTCATTTACTTACAAATAGAGTTCATCTAATTTCTGGTCCATTTCTGGCACAAATTATGTAATGTCCCCAAGCATTGCATCCTGGGAAGGTGACATCAGCAGAGCATTGATGGCAAATCTCATCTGTAATCTCATGAGATCTCAGGGAAAGGCATTTTCCTCCCCTGAGGTGATGTGCATGGTCACATGTCCTAGTCACATGTGCCAGAGTTCCAGGAAGTAAAGGGAGAGCTAGTAATCTGCCCTTAGTAAAACATGGCCACTGTGAGAAGACTGGGGAAGAAAAGAGAAATGAGGAATGCAAAGAATAAAAAGTCGGCAATTATCTAGAAGTATGTGTGTGTAGATTGTCATCACTAAACATTTCTAAAGGGGTGTTTGTTGTTATTTTATGGTTAAAGTTCCTCTTGAATATTGAGTTTAAAGGTACTTTTATTTATTTTCCTCAAGACACTCTAATAAAATCTCTCTCTATTACAGCGGCTGCTTTGCGCCAATGGAGATTTAAATATATTTTGGATATCATTTTTTTTTTTTAGATGATCAGAAGTGTCAATCTCGCCCGGGTTCTATATTTTCCTCAAAGCCCGAGCCTTGGCTTGCTGGAGCGGATTGCCAATCCCATTGTCTTTCTCCCCAACTTTCCACTGCGGGTCATGACAGTGGCTGATTGGATATGGTAAGCTTTGTCAAGATGTGAGGGTCATTTACACGAAAGGTAATGAAAACATGGGCAACGAGTTCCATCCGAATGTGGCCAAAGCCTTCCTGAAAAGGGGGTAGAGGAATGCGCGGAATCCTTCCCCCCATAAAAGCGCCTTGCATTTCCATTTTTAATACATTTTGGAGTTTAGACATTTTAGAGCTCCCGTCAGATCCTTGCTGCTATCCAGGGCTCTGTTGAAGGAGTTTTAAGTCCCAGCGTATCCTCTCCTGTTATGACATCAGCATTGTAATAGGAATACATACACCCCCCGCCGTGTTGCCACTCCTACTGGCCCGTGATCGGCTTCTTTGGTGTCGGCGGGAAGCTGGGGAGGAGATGGACAAACCATTATCGTCACAATTAAAATGATAAAATCCTAAAAATTATAATTTGTTAAGACTACAAAACTTTAAAGATTCAATGTACAGAATCGAGACATCACCTTTACACCTCTTTCACTGAAAATCACACCACCATGCAGCTCTGCATGCTGATATAAAATCATCTTACATTCATTAAAACAAACTTGTTTTTCATTTACTTACAAATAGAGTTCATCTAATTTCTGGTCCATTTCTGGCACAAATTATGTAATGTCCCCAAGCATTGCATCCTGGGAAGGTGACATCAGCAGAGCATTGATGGCAAATCTCATCTGTAATCTCATGAGATCTCAGGGAAAGGCATTTTCCTCCCCTGAGGTGATGTGCATGGTCACATGTCCTAGTCACATGTGCCAGAGTTCCAGGAAGTAAAGGGAGAGCTAGTAATCTGCCCTTAGTAAAACATGGCCACTGTGAGAAGACTGGGGAAGAAAAGAGAAATGAGGAATGCAAAGAATAAAAAGTCGGCAATTATCTAGAAGTATGTGTGTGTAGATTGTCATCACTAAACATTTCTAAAGGGGTGTTTGTTGTTATTTTATGGTTAAAGTTCCTCTTGAATATTGAGTTTAAAGGTACTTTTATTTATTTTCCTCAAGACACTCTAATAAAATCTCTCTCTATTACAGCGGCTGCTTTGCGCCAATGGAGATTTAAATATATTTTGGATATCATTTTTTTTTTTTAGATGATCAGAAGTGTCAATCTCGCCCGGGTTCTATATTTTCCTCAAAGCCCGAGCCTTGGCTTGCTGGAGCGGATTGCCAATCCCATTGTCTTTCTCCCCAACTTTCCACTGCGGGTCATGACAGTGGCTGATTGGATATGGTAAGCTTTGTCAAGATGTGAGGGTCATTTACACGAAAGGTAATGAAAACATGGGCAACGAGTTCCATCCGAATGTGGCCAAAGCCTTCCTGAAAAGGGGGTAGAGGAATGCGCGGAATCCTTCCCCCCATAAAAGCGCCTTGCATTTCCATTTTTAATACATTTTGGAGTTTAGACATTTTAGAGCTCCCGTCAGATCCTTGCTGCTATCCAGGGCTCTGTTGAAGGAGTTTTAAGTCCCAGCGTATCCTCTCCTGTTATGACATCAGCATTGTAATAGGAATACATACTAGAGTTGCTTTTGATAATACAATCAAAGCCGACTTGGAAAAAAAATCCCTTTTTATGGAGTACTGCCTTCCGTCTGCCCATCACTTCCAACAACTTCCTGGATCTCCAGTGTGCTTTGCATCTCTTTCCCTGCTGCTTGATGTGGTCTGGCTTCTACTTACTTGCAAGGTGAGCAAGTGCTTTCAATTCCTAGTCTATAAATCACTTAAAATCGACACACGTTCAGGAGCAGGCAATTGCACTGCAGGGGCGTGGCTGCGGTGCCATTGACTTCAATGCACCACCACGGCCCTGAACGCAGGAAGCCGGCAGGAAAGGTTTGAACTGGCCATTAAGGACCAAGACATCCCACGGATGATGTGAACTGCATGCTTGATGTGGTCTGGCTTCTACTAACTTGCAAGGTCGAGGTGGAGAGCTGGAGATGTCCAAGCCGGTGATCACTGTCCTTTCCTGATACAGCAGCCTTATCAGGACAGTACTGATATTTCCCTTTTAAAATAGAAAAAGAGATTGAGAACAGAGTCCTCAATCTCCTTTTCTGTGTCCCCTGTTATCAATGAACAAGAATCCTCTGTACGGAGTGTTCCTGTTCATTCATAACATGAGAACATTGTGTGTTTACTATATCCCCAATCATGAATGAACAGGAGGGGATGTAGATCACTTCCCATTTATTCATAATTGGGGATATAGTAAACATACTCGGTCCTCCATTATGTACAAACGCTCAGCGATCACTGATCACCGACTGCTTGTACCCGCTCTCCTCTCTGACACGCTGTCATAGGAGGCTGAGGGAGCGGTGCGGGTGAGGAGAGCTCAGCCTCCTATGACAGCGCGGCCTGTCTCCGCCCACACACCGCTCTGCCGGACTGTGATAGGAGGCTGAGCGGTGTGGGAGGAGAGACACAGGCCGCTCACAGCACTCTCCTCCCGCAGCGCTAGGCCGGCTGTCACTTTCTCTCACAGAGCAGCGCCCAGCGGGGAGGAAAGAAAGCACTGATGCGCCAATGTATCGGCAGGAAAAAGGGACTTTCGGCATTGTGCCAAAAAGTGAAATTTTCGGCCGATATGTTTCGGCGGCCGATATATCGGTGCATCCCTAATCTAAACCCAAGAACAAAAATTTCATATACTACACATTCATCCCTTAGATGTGGCGGATGCATTAGTAAAGCTGAAGTATAATCTGCTTACATTTTGCCTGCTCTGGTTCGTCCCCTCACCCCCAAATCAACATGATAATACCATTTCTGGATAAAACCTGGTATACGTTATTTTAGTTTCAGTAATGCCATCATGTCTGTGCTTCTCTATGCAATGCCGGCAGATCATGGCTGGTGGGAGGGGTTGGCAGGGTACTGTATATAGCTTCCTGAAATCATCACAGCACCCTGCCTCGGTACACCTCTCAAGAGCCATCAGCCCTGATACAAGCAGTGGGCTGGCTCTTGGGAGGAGTTATGCAAATATAGAAATGCCTTCATGGGTGGGTTTCTCGAGGAGTGGGCGTTCCTAGGCAGGCTGAATTTACATACAGACTGCCCTGGGTAACATCACATGTGATGCTGAGACTCCGTGATTGAAAGAACTGGAATCCAATGAATGATAGGGATAGGACAGTCAGGCAGGGGAGGAAAGGACTAGATGATACTAGATTCAACACTGTGCTGGGTAGAGCTGTGGGAGGGGCCCAGCAGGCTCCACCCTCTACATGTTACCTGCAAAAAACTATAGGAGGGGGCGGAGACAAGACCAGTCACCCTGCACAAGGAAAGAGAGCAGCAGTGAGCGGTCTTTATTACAGGAGGGGGCGGAGACAAGACCAGTCACCCTGCACAAGGAGAGAGAGCAGCAGTGAGCGGTCTTTATTACAGGAGGGGGCTTAGACAAGACCCGTCACCATGCATAAGGAGAGAGAGCAGCCGTGAGCGGTCTTTATCACAGAATGCGCCAAGTCTCACATTGGATTACTGCCCAGATCTGGAAGAAATACACAAAGCTCACTGAGATTCCAGGAACAATACTCCGGTCTTTAGATATTTGCTTGTCCCGGAGTTCAGCTCTACACAGCAGGATTGTAGAACACATAGAAGTGCCTATA